TAAACTGACTATCACTTGTGTGATTGATTCAATCATTAACACTAAGAAACAAACAATTTCAGAATTATTGAAATTAACGCCATTGAAATAAAATAACAATTTTTTAAAAAATAAACAAGACTTAGCTATTTAATCATTTCTTTGTATGTGAATGCTTCCATCCATCAAATATTCATGATGGTCATGATGATTATTTGATACATTTGATATAATTGACATAACAAACAATTGCATCACCTAGGTAGTAACAATACCAAGGCCATGCAAAAATGAAACTTTTAATAATGTGTGTCTACCCAGATCTCTGGGATTCACAATAATAAATTATTCTTCCTGATTATCAGTTATGGTAGCTCATGAATAATAAATCTGATGTTGATCACAGGTGTCAGATTTAATTAAAACTTTCCTGTCACAAACATGTAGTTGGGTGCTTTCACACGCCTCATAACTATGGAATTTTTTTTCCACAGGTGAAGGTCCCCAATGTTGGAAGGCTTTGGACAAAGCTTTCCCTTATCTTCCTCTCAGACCAGGCTTGGCTGTCACTATATGGGCATTGATCACTGATAGCTGGTGCTTGTGTGATGATTGCTGTGTGTTATTGCCACACTAACATAAAAGTTGGCACCTGCAACTGGTTGAAAATTCTCCAACTCTGGAGGTTGCAACCTGGGTTGCTGTTTTGTCAGTGGCATGCCTGCTGACTAACAACCCTACCCCCATTTAAATAACAAGTTCAGTTGATCAAATAAAATTTAGAGAAATAGAGAATTTATGAAAATGATTAATTTATATAAAACATACCAAAAAATATCTGAACCGTCTTATTTTACAGCTTTCCTCTTAACATCAGAGTCCAAATGCAATTTCGGGGTCACCAACCCCACTCTGAATTGTAACTTCCTACACTTGAAACAAGTTGCAGATTCTCGTTGCTTTGATGGATCTGGATATTTATGCACACCTAATATCACAACTCCAAAATGCAACTTGGTCACAGAGCCATCCTTACCCTAGAGGTGGGATCGTTGCAGGAAACTTTTCAGCTAGCGTGCCAGCAGTCTTCTCTAGTCTGGATGCTGTGAGGGAAGATTAGTGAAAGCATCCTTGATGATTGGTGCAGTCTTGATGCAGCTCCAGGGCAAAGCGACCCCCCCCTGGAATCCTGTTGCATCATCATATCATCGGGCATTGCAAGTCAGATTAGCCTTTTGTGTACATGAGGAATACGTGAGAATGACTGTAAAGTGCTCAAGGTAGCGTGCGTGCTTCAACGCCTGCTAATTTCCAATAATCAAACATTGCATATTTGAATTGTTTCTTTTCAAATGGTGTATTGCCTTGACATCTTTTTGTAATTATATATTAATAATAATATTATTATTAACGATTACGAAAAGCAAAACACCAATCGTTTGTTGTTGATAAGAATCTTATAATTACCAGCAATGATCTGCTCTGCGTTTTGATTTCCAATTAAAATATTTATATAAAATAAAAAGTGTACCTCTGGTTAGTTATTAACACGTCTTCTTTAGGAGACTTGCATTTTGTCATTGAAAAATAAATTGTTTTTCCAAAAAAAAAAAATCAAAAAAAAAATCAATTGCATAAATAATTGGTACGCGTATGTCGATCAAAAATTTTTTTTTTCAAAAATAAAAAAAAAGAATGTCATTCACACAAAAAAGAAAAAGAGGAAATAGCCATGGAGCTGCATTGGCCGAGTAAGTGTTTATTAAAGGATGGTAGTGGTGGTTATCGCCCGCCGCTTGTTGTCACTCTAGTTCTAGTTATTAAAAAAGAATAGTGGTTGTGACACGTCATCATTTTAGTCTTTGTTGGGAAAATGGTATTAATTTGTAACTTGTATTATCTCTTATACTAGCAACCAACAAATTTCGAAATATTTTTCTCCCTCAACATCACCTGAAAAAAGGTTGAATGATATTAGAAATGTTTTGAATGACACGTTCAAATTAAAGGATTTTAGAAAAAATCAACTTGAAGCAATTGTTCAAACACTGGATGGAAAGGACGTTTTTGTAGTAATGCCAACTAGTGGCGGAAAAAGCTTGTGCTATCAATTGCCTGCACTGATAAAAACAGGAAAAACCAAAGGTGTAACCATTGTTATTTCACCATTGCAATCACTAATCATTGATCAAGTTTATAATTTGGAAAGACACAATATATCAGCATTATGCTTATATAGTGAGCAAGAAGACAAAGAAAAACAAAATGTCTACACTGAACTTGATAAAACCATACCAAGTTGCAGGTTGCTATATTTAACTCCTGAAATGTTAAATAAAAATACAAAAATTTCTTCAGCAATAAGATGTTTGTATGAGAGAAACCAATTAGCAAGATTTGTGATCGATGAGGCTCATTGTGTTAGTGAATGGGGTCATGATTTTAGGCCAGATTATAAAAAATTGCACAACTTGAAGGAAATTTATCAAGATATCCCTGTCGTCGCTTTAACAGCAACAGCAACTTCTGAAGTAAGATCTGATATAATAAATATTTTAGGAATCCAAGGTTGTAAAGTTTTAGTGCAAGAAATTAATCGAGAAAATTTGTATTACAAAGTATGTGGGAAAGAGAATGACAGTAGTAAATCATTGCAAAATCTTGTTAAACTTGTTAGAAGTTATAATGGAAAATCGGGAATCATTTATTGTACTACCAAAAAATGCTGTGAGAATGTTGCACAATACATCCAAAGATCAGGAATTCCAGCAAATTATTACCATTCGGATGTAGAGAAGAAAAACAAAATTATTATACAAAATGAATGGCAATCAGGAAGGCTTCAAATTGTTGTTGGAACCACAGCCTTTGGAATGGGTAAATTATCCATGTTTTTTAACATGATACATGTACATATATTAAATTGATTTTTTTTTTATATATAAAGGGATCAACAAGCCTGATGTGCATTTTATCATTCATTATTCATTGCCTCGATCTCTGGAGGAGTACTATCAGGAGACAGGGAGGGCTGGCAGAGATGGAAGCTATTCTGCATGTGTTCTTTTATTTGTAGGTAGTGAGTATAAAAAATTAAGAAAAATTATAGAAAAAGAAGATGAGTCTCAAAAGGATAAAAAATTATCAAACCTTCTTTTGATGAAGGAATATTGTGAAAATACCACAGATTGTCGCAGGAAACAGTTATTGGGGCATTTTGGAGGAAAATTTGATCCATCAAAATGCAAGGAGATGTGTGACAATTGCACAGTGGGGAAATATAGGATTCATATGGAGAATAAGGATAACTCATCATCAAATACAATTGAGATCATTCATGAAAGCAAAAATGCTGCTTCTGGCTTTAAAAGAAATTCCACAAACAATTTACAAGATTATACTAATGAAAAGGAAGTGAATGTAAATGAAAAAGAAGGAGAGCAAAAACTAGATGACAGTGATGATAAAGGTGAGGAGGTGAAAAAAAATGACAATGATGGTGAGAGAGAAAATAAATCTGAGGGTATGGTTGATGATGTTGAAGTTCCAACATCATCAAGTCATGAAACAAGCATCCCTGATCATTCTACATCAAGTTCCAAAACATTGAAGAAACGTAAGGAAATTGTAGGTGATGATGATAGTGAAGACAAGTCTAGAAGTCCTGTTAAAAAATCAAAGATAGTGTAACTATGGAACCAATAAACATTTAAGATAATACATTCTTATCCTAAGGTTAAATACTATTAACCAATCAATCATTATTATTTTTTATTAAATGTTCTTTAGAGTATATATATTTCTTATTACACATATTTATATCCTAATCATTACCTCTTTATACAACAAAAGCTTCCAATGCAAGCTCTTAAAATTTAGAATTTATATGTTATATATTTTTAATAAAGATATATCTATTATTATTCATTATAAAAATTTATTTGCATAGATATTTGATCATGTT